GTATTTTTACGAAAACATTACCAACTTCAACTATGGAAAACAGCATTTGTGACTAACTAGCTTCCCGGTAATTCGTATCTACATGGACTTGAAATTAACTCACTCATCGTGAACCCTCGATAAGATATCAAGGAGGTTCCAGACTAGAAAGAAAATTTTATATTTTTTCTAAGTTTGTGAAATTTCTGTTTATAAATCATTGTTTGTAATAATTTTTATTGTAAATTGTATTTTTGTGTGTATATTAAAATGTATTTGTGTTAAAAACCAAAATGTTGCGTATCAATCTTGTTGGCATATATCATAAATTGACTAATATATCAGCATATATTTAAATACTAAATCCAAAGTACAATTTAATTACTAAATTTAAATTATCAGCTAACTCGGCTTCGGACTATTTGAAATTCTAATACGTAACAAATATTACATTTATTACCCACTAAGATATCAAATTTTCTAGCATGGAAATTATACACCATAAGACCTGATGTATTATAATTAACTGACATAAACTACATCTTAAATATCACTTTGTATGTTGTAATCAGTCAGAAGAACTTTAAGGTATAGACTGAGAGAAAGTCTTCATCAGCAGAAATGTACAAGAAAAAAAGTGTAAGTTAAATGTTATCAGACAATCTTCTTACATTTATTAGATGGGCCTATAAAAAATATGTTAAAATGACTTCCCATCTTATTGTGATCTAATATTATATCCATCTTATATATAATTCCATAAAGATACCTTATTTACTCATCACAATAGCAGGTAAGGCAACTATATCCTTCTAAAATTTAAATTATCAACTTTAAGATCTATATTTTTGGCTAAGACTGATAACGTAAGAAATATAGAGTTGAACCTACCTAACTGTTCTTCCTATTTCAGAAGCAACTTCATCATAATCATTAATAGCATTACAGCTTCCAAGATTTAGGTGTTCTAAGTGAGGACAGAACCTGCAAAATAAGGTAAAAGTAATATCACTCTACTCTACAAACCTACTACATACTTAATAATTTTAGAAGCTCAAGTTTTTGTTTGTTTGTTTGTTGTTAAGCACAAAACTACACAATGGGCTATCTGTGCCCACCACAGGTATTAAGACCCAGTTTTTGCCTTTTTTAATCCTCATTATGTCCTAAATGACATTTAATTGTTCAATTTAGAAACATGAACATTTTTCAGGTAAATAAAAGAAACATTTTTTTTTTGTTAGAGACTATTTCAACTGCAGAGGTGGTTGATCACACTATACAAATCTATGGAAATAGTTTATGGAAAATATTTCATTAATACCATGATATGTATGTAAAAAGCCTTTCACTTGTACTATTAATTGTACTAAAGAAAGCTTCTGGATACAACTTGAAAAAAAAAAGGAATCAAATTACACCATGCTCTTTGAGAATATATACAGACACAATGCCACAAATATGCCAAGCTATTATTTATGCCATAGTTGGCCAGACAAAAGATTAGCATTAAAGAAATTTAAAGTCCTGTATAAATACCTACAAGTTAATTTTTATAGCAAATCAATGACTATTTTGTGTGAAAAGTACACAAAATTACAGCTGTTGTAAATGACATTGACAGGAGCCTTACAAATTGTGGCAGACAGAGTGAACTAATCTTGTCAGTTAAACAAGTAAGGTCAATGGATGCAATGAATTAACCTTACTAATCAAGACAAGTAAGCATAATACACCCAATTAAAATACTAGTCATTCATAATATCCTAAGCTTACGAAAAGCAAGTTAATTTGCTACATAGCTCCTAATATTTTCAAGTATTTCAGAATAACACAGGTTATCAAAAGTTTTCAAATCAAGATAAACAATAGAAAAACGTGTAACTTCCTACACACATTCTGAATATGTTATAAAACTAGCAACAATTTATTAAATCAAGCAGATCCTTTCCTTAACCACGATGATATTTATGATCCATTTTTTATGTCTTTTCAAATGATCCCTGACAGAAGATTATAACATATTAACCCAGTACTCTCAGTCACTAACTTAATGAAGTAGATCAACTTATATTTTTAACACAAAAACTTGTAGAAAACATAATGAGGGCTTCACAACTGTACTTCAAAAATTTAACTTACTACTTCTCTGAAATTTAGACTTAACTATCAAATGTGATTTATATGATTATATATATATATACATGACACAGATACTTGGTAAGGAATATGTATAAAATAAAGACACAATTTAAGTCATAAAGCATCTTAGAAAATCATACTCAAGTATTCTGTTAATGTAAAATATGTCACTTTTTATCATATGAAATTTCTGGAGTGGATCACTTTTCATAAAAGTTATGCAAAAGAACTATTTTTGTAATTTTTAAGTTAGTATTCTTGACTAAATATGATAAAGTTTCTAATCTGTACTGTACATCTGATGTAGAATGTTAACAAATGTTTACTACTTAGAACACATTGGTACTCCTTTCTGTGTTTATATGTATAAATTAGCTGCAGCATGAATGGACAATTCTTAATACTGATGCATGGTAAAAAACTTCAATTACTGTTCCTCACTAGAAAGCAAAATCCACATGCAATTACCATTTCTGATTCACATTACAATTAGTAAGCACTTAGGAGTACAGTGAGGTGTTTCTTCTGAACTGTATGCTCCTCTCTACTGTCAGGTACTTTTATTGCTGCAAGTATATGGTAAAGATAAAGAAACTGAACTTTCAAAATAGAATACCTTCAGAATGATTAAAGTAAAGAATCTAGTATTTGGCCAATCATAAATGGATGAAAAGTACAGATCACTCAGGATACATTAATAATAATCTAAAGAATAGTAGAATAATAATTAAGTTACTAATTATTTCTTAGTATCTTATGTTCGTATGAAAACATATGATAAATAATTTTGAAAAGAACAAGGATATTTATTAAAAATGCGAAGTGGCATTTTATAAAGTTTTAAAAATATACTTCTTACTCCTACCTTAGAATTGATATAATGGAATGTTTGTCAATAAATGTACGATAGAGATCCAACCACTGAAGTTCACAAATTCTCGCAATCTGTATAAAACCAAATTGATCCAAGGGACCTTGGCAACAATTTCTCAATTCTAAGCCTGAAAATAAGTTATTGTGTTAAACTGAATATAGATCAAGAATTCATTAACAATGGATCCCTAATATGAAACATGATTTAGATAAAAAGATAAGATAGTACTTATTTATTATATACTATGATGTATATAATTAGTTTATATTTTCCAAGACTTTCATAAAATTTAGAATTTCATCTTTATAATTTTACATTCAAAAATTTTAAAACATAAGTATAATGAATAGAGCATAGAAATTTGTTGTATAAGCTAACTGATAGCCCTATTAATCGATTATATTCAGTTAATTGATTGGTACAGTGTTGCCCAAACCATGGTAGGTATAAGCAAAAAACAAAGTTGGAGGTGGGTTTTGCATGACAGTTGCCTTCTCTCTTTTCAGCACTTCCCAATTAGCTCAATACATAGCTTTGTGCTTAACAGCAAACAAACATAATACAATATCCTCCCCAGTGGCTCAGAATGCTGAAAATCGAATTTTGATGCTTGTGGTTGGCACAACATAAATAGCCCACTGTTTAGCTTTCTGCTTAACAACAAACAAACATAACAGCAATATTTATATTACTTAAATAGTTAGATTAATTGAAAATAGTAATAACTATTTTTGTGATAGTCATTATAATCAGAATTTTGATTAAATGATTGCTGGAATAACCTAAAACAGTAATAATCATAAACACAAATTTCAATTAATCAACTTAATCAATTCACTGTTTTGAATGTTACACAAAGCTATATGAGGGGTATCTGTCCTAGCTATCCTTAACTTTGAAGTGATAAACTAGAGGGAAGGCAGCTAGTCAATACCACCCACCACTAATTCTTCAACTACTCTTTACCAACAAAAAGTGGGATTGATTGTCAATGTATAATCCCCCCACAGCTGAAAGGGCAAGCATGTTCGAGGGCGAGATTCGAACCCACAAACTTCAGAGTGTAAGTTGAGTGCCTGAACCATGCCAGACCCACTTTAATCATAATTTTGATTAATCAATGAGCTCCTGTGACCCTAATCTAAATAACTGCTGATCATAATTAATCAATTATACTGATTATTCAATTAAGTTGCCCAGCTCTAATTATGAAATAACAAGTTTCCAGTGTAAATAAAGAATTATATTTTCACAACTTTTGAGGATTATTGACACACAATTATAAACACAGACTGACAGTCTTGTTTAAAAAACATTGATACAGATAATCTATTAGCAAACTGCCCCTGATTATTAGCTGCTTTTCATCTTCAGCATTACTATTTACTTAAACATTTCAAAACTCCAAATGAGAGCTTATATTTTGAAGCTACATTAATGGTTATACTTAATATAATACCTAGTTACAATGAGAAGTAGTATTTTTCTTGTGATGAAAAATAAAAAAAAACACCTAGTAAATTATTATTTGACACAGTGTGGAAAAGTGAGTTTATAAACAGAAAAGTAATACTTAATGTGTGATACATTACCATTACCTAGGAAATGCTGAAAAAATGGAGATCTACCTTCTGAAATCACTCAGGTTATCAGGTTCCAAATGTTATTTCTTACTATCATGAATATATCTCCATAAGAAAAGGAACCTAATTAGAATAGTATAGTCCTTTATTTTCCTAACTAAGCATTTTCAGTGACTATGCTATAGTACCTACATGATCATATAAGTATTTTTCTGGACACCACTAAATAAAAGAAATTCCCCAATATTCTTCTTTTTTTTATATTAAAGACATGACACATTTATTAATATCACTGAGGATACCAATGACAAAGAAATATTATGTTACTTTTATATATTCTTCTTTGTATTTCTTTTTGGTGATTTTCTTTGCCTATTTAAGCAATTATTTAATTAGGTTGATAAGGCCTAATTTAAACCTGGCAAAATGGAGCAGTCTTATCCACAAAATGAAACTTGATCTGGTTGAGCACAAAATGATGTTGTAAGCCTACCTCATATTGTTCCACGAAAAACATTTCTTTTTCTATCTTACTGCAACTTCAAAATTTAAATGACATATAGAATAATAAAGAAAGATTTTCCCATACTTTTAGAAAAAAAATCAGAACTGTAATTGTGGCAGAAATTGTTCACAAACATCTTTTCTTCCAGCAACATATTACAAAGCTATGCTTTTATCACCTTATTGTGATCTCTCTATCAGTCTATACTGAAATGGATACCATTGATTTATGCAGTTGAAAAGAACAGAAAAATATCTATTATGACATGGTTAGATCACTAACCTACAACTTATTGAAACTGATACCTAGGCAATTACATCATATGATGACAACACAGGTTGAGAAAGTGATTGCTAAAAATTGATAAAATTACACTTATATTCATGTTCCAAGAACAAAATAGCACTAAAATCTTCAAAAGTATTATGCCTTTTCTCCTAGAAGTCTACAAGTGTCATATTACACTCAGAAAAAAATTCAACAAAATCACAAAAACTAATACATTCTGTTGGAGCTTGCTGAAATCAACCCCAAATAAAATACTTCAGATTGTTTTAACTTTTGTGTATAAAATCAAATAAATTACTTTTATATTGAATGACTTTTAATTAAAAAAATTTTTAATGTGTCGAAGAATGACTACAAGTTTATTTTTTATTAACAGGTCACTCAGTGTATTACACTGGCTTTTCACATTTCTTTTCATATATCTTGTGACTGGGCAAGCAGTCTTAATTTCATGACTGAATATCAGTCTGCACAACTTTTACAAAAATTTCACTGTTTTTCATGTCTCCAAAGATTCTTTAAAACAAAAATTATTTACTGTTTGTGTCCAGGCATTAGTGATTCTCTTTAAACTGGGACAATAAATATCAATAAGGTAGTAGCAAGAACACACCCATAAACACAACCAGTGACATGTATCGTGCTAGAATTTTTTCGTGATGATTCATGAAATTATTTGTGAGAAATATCTCAATATTTAACTATGTCCATGCATGAAATGTAGCCCTAAAAGAATTCCACAAGTAATTTATATCATAAAAGACATTCCTGGAAACACACCATGGTAACTAAGTAGAATTTGCTGCTTCCATCAAACTTTGAGGTAGTGGTGAAGGAAAAAACACTTGGTTTAAAACTTCTGGTATGAACTGTCAGAGGTCTCAAAACATGACCACAATTGTCAGCTAGATAAATTAAGCAACAATTAAACAAAATGAAGGAGGCTGTAAAATAAAAATTTTACTGATGAATTTGCCAGTGTTCAGCACCCACCCACCCCAATACATTAGATACTTCTTTTTTTCTCACAGCATAGAATTATTGCAAAAATGTGCAACTAGAAATTTTTAAAACATTCTAAAAAGTAGGTCACTGTGAGGTGCTACCTTAACAGATTAAAATTTAGTTTCAGGAATTTAGTAAAATAAAAATATTCTTATGAAATTATCTTTAACTTTGTAATAAAGTATAATATACTTAAGAATGTGACAATTAGATTGGTGACTAAACAGTGAATTAATGAAAAATTTAGTACCATTTTTCTGGTTCTCAATATTGGAAAAGGAAAGCATAAAAAAAGAGAGAGGCATATTTGATTTTTGAAAAAAAGTGATGACCCCACCATTAGAATGAGTCAAGAAATTGAAGAAACCACAGCTTCTTATGATAAAGACAATTCTTGAGAGAAAAAGTTGATACAAAGTGAAAGTACTTGTGCATTTGATTTGAGTGAACCAGATAATCAACACCAAGTGTGATAGTTTTGTTTGAAATGGGTCTCATACAGCTGCACATTTTGGCTTTCTCGAAGGTGACAAGAGAAATAAATTCACAAGTTATTACACATAATGATTTGTTAACAGAACAGATATACCAAGCCAATGGGTTCAACATTTAGCCATGTAGAATTGTTTTGTCTTTGCTGCAACACTTTTGGCATAGCTAAATTTTTACTTTTTTTTACAGAGGTAGTGATGATCTTCAACTGAATTTAAAGTATATATGTCTACTCTTTTGATTCAATTCATTGTTGGAAAGTATTACTACATGTTCTCCAGTTATTTATAAAATCAATGAGTGGCATGCAATGAGGAAATAAAATTGATAGTACCCATGCACTCTGACATCAGCTGGTTTCCTTACACAAGCTGGTAAAACAAAATCCTGTTCCAAAGCAAAAGCAATTGCTGCTAATTTGCCTAAATTTCAAAAAGAAAGGTCCACTGTTCAAAAGTGCTCAGGTTATAGGGTTTATATTTATTTCTGTCAATACTTCTTGAACCTATGTGTTTTTCTAACATCATGAATATTTGATGTGACTTGGAGTCCTATAGTTTTTTAACTTTACTGGAAGTAAAATTGGAAGGACAACTTAGCTAGAACTAGGTCTTGCTCAAGGTCAAATTATGTCTTGACTAGCAGTAGTAATGTTAATCTTTAAATTCAACTCTCTTTATAAAGAGTGAACTTTAGCAGAAATTGACTATTAGAACTGAAGTAATCTCACCATTCAATTTCAATATCAAGGCAACATTTTTAATTGTATCTTTTTGTATCAAGGTAATTTTAATAAGCATCCATGATTTTCTGTAAAGCTGTAGTTTCACCAGAACTTCATCAATGAAATTACTCTATACCCTGTTTATTATCTGTTTACTTTTTCTCATGCTTTTACAATGCCTTTCAGAATTTTTTGTCATGTTGTTTTATTTTGTACTTTAATTTTCACCACATTCTTTTGTTTTCCTTTGCAATTCTTTATACTATTGTTGGAAGATTTCAAAATGTTATCACTTTTTGCATGCATATACAATATGTCTCACCTATGTGGATTTTGTACATGCAAAATTAAAATTTTTTTCTGAGTTCTCATTTGGAACATTAGTAAATCTAGTTGAGGTCATGTGCTTAATTCAGTTTGAGGTGTTACTTTCTGAGCAGAATCTGGTCACAGAGCTTATCTACTTTTCATTGTGTAAAGGGGACTGTTTTAGGTTTGATATGGAGCAGAGATAACATTGGGTTCTTGTGATCCAATTTTCTGATTGGTCAACTACAGAGAGAAGGGGTCTCAAACAGTTTTTCTTAATCTTTGAGAAGAACACAAACTATGTCTGAGAGACCTAGGATGTGCTAATGAATTTTACCTTTGTTTTATTACAACTGTTATTGCTAATTGTGTGTGCATTTAGACATTTCAACTCAATTACTTGTACATGAAAGTTTAAGGTTTTTATTTTCTTTATAAATAAATGTAAATTATTTCTTTAATTTTTTATTTTTAATATTTCATTCTACTTTAAAATGCAACAGCTTATTCCTTAATGATCCACAATCCTTCAGCATACTAGATACTGTAACAGCTATATGTTGCAAAGATAGGTTAACTGTGTGCTAGATTTAACCTTGATTTACTACACACAACTTTGATTAGATTTTACAGACTAAAAGTTATTTTGATCAGTTAATCATGTTCCTCATACCTCTAGTTAAGTAATGAGCATTCATTGAGTTCGTTAACATTGACAGATTAAACATAATCTTGCAAAGAAATATAGAAATTATAGTTGTACAGAAATTTTTCTGTCACATAACTGATTTTAATCCCAGTACAACAACCAAATAGTTTCCACCTCCTCCCGAGTATCAAATACTACAAGTAATAAGATGTATCAGAGTCAAAATTCAAAAATAGACCTGCTTAAGTTCTGTATCATAACCATAAAGAACTACACTTACCTTAGGTGTATGTAGGTTACTGATAACATGAATCACTAAATTCACTTTTAACTCAAAAACATGAATTCTAATTGAACTTTCAGGGCTACATTTGTAATAATTGTTACTGAAACTACTATTTTGGACAATTCCAAGATATATAGCTCATGATTACAATATAACTGATGAATTACTACATATATGTAAAAATACCACTCACTACCTTGTACCTGGCCTTTAACAATTCAACTGAAAATTCTGAATCCCAAAAATTATAAAATATTTTTATTTCAAGCATTAAAGATAAGAAGTACATTCCTACAATTCTAGTATTTCAGTTTATAACCTACCTTGTAGCTTTGGACAGTATTCTGCAATGGCTCTAAGGCATTCATTATTCAAAAATGAACATTTTGAGACCTTGAGGAAAATTAACTCTTGCCCACATTTTTTGATAAACCTGCAAAAAATATAAACAGATCCTATATCTAATGACATCATAAAATATATAGCACCACAGTCCCTGGATTAGTTACAAAAAAAGAGAGAGAGAGTAAGACTTTAAAATATGGCGTAATCACATTCAGACATCACTATTCCCCTCACTATAAATAACAACAGAAACTAAATTTAGGCATGAGTAAATATATGTTTAACAGAATTGTATCCACTGGTGAACATATTAATTTTTCCTTAAATGTACATGTAGTACCAAAAGTTTCGGTTTATGTTCACTCTTACTTTTCATTAAGTAAAATTGCATTATTTTGTTCTTTAATACTTTTGTATGAAGTGACAAAGAACTATTTAAGGCAATCATTATTATATGACTGCCATAATAAATAGTTCTGTATTTTTAAGAATGTACAAAAGTTGTGTCATTTCCTAATATATAAAAATGTAACTCTTAAACATTTTATTGAGTAGTTAACTTATATACGAAAAATATCTGTGGGTTTAATATTTGTAAAGTTATTTTAAGCCACACTACAGACTTGCAGCTATAAATACTCATATATACTCTGCAAGACTGCATCAGTCTCTTTGGTAACCTAATGCCGGTATTACCAGCAGGTGGCAACAGATTGACCCCAATCACACTGTTTCAGAGCTCAGGGGATGTCAGCAAGACCACATCGGTCCCTTTGATGACCTGAGTGGTAGTGACTTTTTTCAATGTTTAGTTACAGGTTAGGTAATTTTAAGTAGAACTGCTGGTAAACCTGGCAACTTTTATTATAATTGAAAATTAAGTGTAATAAGTATTGTAAAATTGTGTAATAAATAAAAAACTTGTAAATTCACATACATATGCAGAATGAATAAAGAAAGAATTATATTTCTCATTTTCCAGGAGGAATTACATTTCTTCTATGTTTTAATTTTAAACATTTCATCACACTGTATGTTGATGGTAATATCTACAGTTAGAAAATGATAAATGAAAATCACCTTGCACTCAAACTATTAAGAGTTTGAGTGTAAATAACTACAATAAATACCATATTTTTAGTAACACTTTATTAAAATAATGTCATTCTTTGTGTACAAGATACTTATAATCTTTAACAAAAGTTTACTAGTTTTTGTGAGGATACAATAAGAAATCTCAAGAGTTACAGTACATATTGTTGCACAAGTGAAATCCCCATATGGCCCCCCAGGAATTGCAGGTGCCCATACCAAAAGGGTTAAATAAAGTCCAGAGGTACAGCTTTAAAGTAGATTTTTTTCTTTTTGCTTGAATTTATTACTACGCTTTGACCATTCATATGGCCATCATAAGATGACATTGTATACTGTGTGAAATATTGCTTTGGTCAGTATAATAATTATTATCTACTATCTAGCAAAACCACAGCCAAGGGAACGGGCTTGGAAAATGAACCAATTATTGATATAATAATAACATTATTACGGGATACGACAAGTCAACAAAGAGTTAAGTTGACAGATGGAAAAAAAATCTGATCACTTTTCCAGACAACCCATGTCTTGGGAAGGAAGGAACAGTCCGAAAATAAAATCACCGTGCCTCTGTGGGAAGCATCCAAGGTAAAAATCTCTTACAAGCAGGGAATAGAACTTATTGTGTCTTAAGAGAAAGATGACAAAGGGAATAGATGGCTAAAGATTTGAATGGAGGACATGTAAGAGCACTGAAAAGTAAACCAAGGTTCCAGTCTTGGAGAGGAACAGGATAAGGAGGACAACTGATTATAAAGGCTTGTAGGAGGTTCATAGAAAATGGAGAAGGAAAAGGAAAATGGTCATAGAAAAAACAAAAGGTTACTGAAAAAGTCACTGTGTAACCACAATCATAGAGGTGGATAGGTAAAAGAGAAAATCAGATGTGAAAGAGTCAGATGATTTAAAGGAAGAGAGAAGTGAATGAACAAGCATTAATGAAAAATCCACTTGCATTAATAAATTACAAAGATGGATAACTGACAAAAGTAAGAAAGAAAATGGGCTACTCTGTGAGAAAAAAAAACCTACTCATCCTGTGTGGATCCAGTCAAAAGGAAAAAGTTAGGATGACACATAGTGGTGAAAGATGTACGTACAAACCTGATACAAAAGAAACCATTCAAGATTTAAGAGGAAGAGACACCTGGGATGCCAAAAAGAGTCAGAAATACAATTCAGAAGACCAATGGGGAAAATACGAAGAACCTGGAAGGTGTATCATGAAATACAGACAGCAGTCTGAGAAGAAGTTGACAAGGAGGCATACACAGGATCCACAGACAGAGTTGAAGAGCCCAGGAATGGTGATGAAAAAGTGGAATATTGGTGTTTATGGGAGTCGCAAAGGCTTAGCTAAGAGAACTCACAGACGGAAACAAATCCACTGAAATACCAGAGAATGTAATGACCACTTTGTAAGAAGGATTAAGCCTGGGCAAGACAGCTGATCCACCACAAAGTTCAAAGCTCCCTGGATACAACAAGTCAACAATGAAATGTGGTGGTCATAGATCTAAAAATGAAACTAAAGCAATAAAACAGGTCCTGAAAGAAAATATCTCCCTATTGGTTGATGCAAGAATTGACAGCAAGGTAGTACAAATGGATCATGACAAGATATCCAGACAGAGGAGAGAAAAGATGATGGCATGCCCATTGAGCTAGTCTCCCCCAAAAGCAACAAAATATCTTGCATGGGAAGAGAAAGAGACATGAAAACTTCAGAAACCAGAAGTTCCATGTCTTGAAAATGAAAAAAAGAAGGTTTGGCTCATCATGCATGTGAGTTGAGAAAGACCCTTAAGTGGATCAGATACTGGGTGGGTATCAATACTGACTTGAAGGTTTTGACCAGCCAACCAAAATAAGACAACTCCCAAAGGAGAGAGGAGGACACAGCAGAAGATGCCTCTCTGGATGAGAGGGAAGGAGCCAATTGTCCATATAGTAGTGGAAATGCAGATCCAACAAATGCATCCTTTATGCGAAAGTCCTCAGGATCCAGCTGAAAACATATGGGACTATAACCAACTGACAAGAGATTGGTTCAAAGATGATAGATTTACAATACGTTGCCAATCCCCTGTCTTCTTGAGAACAATAAAAAGGCAGAAGTAAAACCCCCAGAATTGGGTTGAGGACTTGCTCTATTGCATTCATCTCCTAGAGGAAAGAATGCCTCCCCCAGAAAACAAAGAGGTAAGAGATCTGGTGGGGATGGGTGGAGAGATAATTATAAAAGGAGAAAGAGGAGGTTGAGAGTGTAAAAACAGAGAAAGTTCTCTGAGAGAGCACCTAAGTGAATCCAGAGTCTTCTGGAAAGGTAGTTGACAGCTGTATAAAGTGGGAGAGTTCAGCTTCCACCAGACCAGAACCTATGGGTAGATCCAGAAGCAAATCACCCTTGAGACCTGTGATGGCTGAGAGGGGGAATGCTAAAAAGTGGCAACAGGATGAGGGAAAGAGAGAGAAAGAAGAAGAAGATTCCTAGGCTGGAAGAAGAGACCCAACGGAACAAAGTTCAAGGAAAGAAAAAGGTTCTTGAAGTTGAGACACAAAAGAACCATCCTGAACATGAATGTCAGTGAGGGGGTGGAAAGTAAGAGAAAGGAAGTTCACGCAGCATGTTAGCCAGAAAATCAGCAAAAACTAGTGGAGTAAAAGGAAAAATGTCACATACCTGTGATATTAAAATGGCAAAAGATGAAGGTAGGGTTAACTAGTCCTCATCAAGGTGTGAATAATATGCAAAAGCAGGGGGTGGGAAGAGCTGGTCAAAAAAGTCTAAAGTGTACAGTATGCTCAGGAATCCTGGATTCAATATAAAGAAGGTAGAATTGCAGTAATATAGCTTCATCAGAATGTCTCCAGTCACCATTACTGAGTAATGTCTGAACCTCAGGTGTCAGAAACATAGAAACATAACAATACAAACTGGTAACTGAAAATTAAAAGTAATAAGAACAATGCAAAAATTATGTTATTCTTAATACAAAGCACAAGGAAAAGAATGAGCTATTGTTATAAAAAAAAAGTTTTATCCGAATGCTTGGTGCATGCACAAAACCTTTACAGCTGTAGTGTGAGGTATTAACAATTTGTTCTGTGGAGAGGTGAATAGCATTTTCTGAAATACTGTTTTTATGGTTTCACATCCACATCATACTTACTGGTAACAGGCTTGTGGCTGAGAAGTTAAAAATGCTTTTTTATTATTTTTAGAAAGAAAGGGTATGAAGTCTTTAGCTCTTAACTGGAAAATTGGGTTCATGATAGGGAGGAAGAAATTTTCAAAGATATTGACTTGGACCAGACTAGTATTTTAAAAGAAAATTTAAAAAATTTTTATAACTGTGTTAAGAGAAAATGTTTTTGATATATGTATTCACTAGTTTATGACTTTATTTTAACTTAATTTAACTCTCTTGCTATGGGCTCAGTTGGTTTGACCTAGTTCATGACCCCAAATTGACCTAGTTCATGACCCCAAATTGACCTAGAGGGTTTCATGCAATAACTTTTAATATGTTTTGTGTATTTTCATGAAATTTTGCAAGCTTTCACTAATTACTAAGTCATTTGTACATAAAAAATCAGAATTTTTCATGAAGTATTTTCACTAAACGTTTATCCATGAATATATGGAGTCAAAGTGTTGACTGCTCTGAGTGTAAAGTGATTTTCATGTTAAGATTAAAAATAGTTTTCTTCAACTGAAAAATTTCAAATTTACTTTTCGTAATATATAAAACCTACTAACGTTTACTGTCTGTAAAACGTTTTTTTATCTGTTATTTTTTCAACCCTAACTCTAAACAAGGTTGGTGAATTTGACCGACCTCTTAAAAAAATTTTTTTTAAATCTAAATTACCCTTTGTTTTCTTTCTAGAATGACTTCAAATTGTAACATGTTTATCCTAAAGTCTTAAATTTATAACAGTATACATCTGTTTCTACTTAAATTTTATTGTTTTATTGCCCTTTGAACC